CACTCTCATTGGGTTCTCCCCCTTTCTGTTTTGCTTCCTAGCAGAAGACTGACTGTTGGAAGTGGATAAAGCCTTTCTCGAGTCCGACATTTTGATGATCTTGTTACCCAACTTTAAAGCTTCAGACATTTTGCTCTTTGCAGCAGCTGAGTTTTTCTTGTCTTTATGAAAACAGGTTCGCAGAAGCTCCTTTCTTGGACCAGATTTCAGGAACTCTTGCAGGAGTTCTGGACTTCTCGAAGCACCATCTGAATGGCCATTTTTCTCTGGTGTACTTTGCACACTGGAAGAAAGACTTTGTATGCCGGAAACTGCATTATTGGAAAAAATCGTGATGGAACTTGTTATCTGAACTCATTATCTAAATTCACTATTGAAAGTTGCCAATTAAATCAGTACCAGCTGAACTAGACACTTGATGCATGTAAAAGGTATTTTTATCTAAGGCCTAAACGATCTTGGTAACATTGAATATTTGATGACTAAAACAGCTAGAAAAGAAAGGAACAATAACAAAAATAGAATTAGCCCACATTAGGCTGCTGAATGCTTATGTGTTATTCACTACAATTTTCATCAAGGGATAGCATATAAATATATATATATATATATATATATATATATATCCAGGACCAGTTGATGAGTTGCAATGCATCCAATTTCCACCCAAACTTAAGAGTGAAAGGAAGATAATGAAAATGAAATTCCAATCTAGCCCATCGTTTTGAAAGATTTACTGCAAGCTTCTGGAACAGATTAGATCTCGAAGATCATAATCATTTTGCAATGCACCAAAAGAAAGAAAAATACAGAAACAGCAAGCAACTTCAAATGGGAATATTTGATAGCATCCAAGTGAACCAGATGTTCATTGTATTTAGTATAATTGAGAATAATGTATATATAATAAGAAAAAGATATGACCAAAAGAAGAACTCGTATCTCTTAAAATTGAAAAAAATGACAGCAACGTAAAAGCATTTGCATTAAAATTAAAATTAGTCATGATATTTTCGCCTCAAAACCATGGAACTTATTGGGAAAGTAGTAGCATTTGCCAACACAATCAGATTAAGGTTCATCCAAGTTATAGGAAGTATCTTCTCCAAATGTCTCAAGTCAGTTCCTGGTACTACAACAATGCCATCACAACATGAAGCAAGAGCGACAAAATTATCTCATTACTGTGCATCAAAATTATCAAGGGTTCATCAAGTAACAAAAAGTAGACATGAAGACCATACCTTTGGCAAGGAATTTATCCTCCAAATCCATAATTCAAGTGCCGAAACCTGCAAAGCTTACCTCTTCCCCCCTGTAAAAAATTAGCAAGGTTGGATTCGGCATCACTACCAAATAATCTACCATCAATGCAAGACTAATTCCTTAAAATCCAAATGAATTTTTTTCCGATGTTCTTCTTGAATGAAACCAAACAAGGAAAAGATAAACAAAACAAAAGCAATGAAAGCTTTCCCACGCTCTATGTGGAAGAAATTTTCATATTTATTTAAATCTTATTCTTCATTTTCCTGTCTCTGCAATGTAGCTCACTATCGACTCAAAACATATATACAACAAATAGCAAATGAAAAACTCCATACAAATGACTAAATAAAAATACATTTTTTGCTGATAAACAAACAGAATACGTGCAAAAAAAATCTCCTCCTTACTAGACTCGACAAAAAAAAAGGCTTGCAAGCTCCATTCAACATAAAAGAAAAGAAAATCGATTGCACAAAAAGGAGAACTAAATAATAATAAACTCCAAGCAGAAAATCTTTTTTTAAATAACACCAATGCCTGTGAATGTAACATGACTACGCTCAAGGAGAAAAACCAAACAAATAAAAATGAAATAAACAATTAAGAAATAAGAAAAATCAAATGTAGGATATAGAAAACAGCGTAAATTTAAAGCTGATAATGTACGAGACAAAAGGAGCGTAATATGAAAGAACCAAAAGGATGTCAAGAAGAGCCAAAACTGAAACAAGGACGGATCTGATCAAAATTTAGTAATCTATTTTTAAAAAACAAATTAAAAGAGAAAAAAAAATTTAAGAGCAAATAAATACCTTCGTATAAAGGGGAAGAACCTAACGAAGCCAAAAACCCACTAAAAAATAGAAAAAAATAAAGTTTTTTTCTTTGAATCCAAACACACACACACAGAGTGTCTTCTTCGTTGTGAGTTGGGTTTCGAAGAGAGATAATGTAATGCTTTGTGCCAGATGCTAATGCTTTGGATGTAAAAAGTTAAGGAACGCCACGCGCGAGCGGGAACGCGTCTTGCTTGCTTTGTATTAAGCAGTGCTGGTTTATGGTTGAACAGAAAGAGTACGTTAAAAAACTGTTGCTTTTCCTGATTGATTCGTGATGTAACACTTACCGGCTTCGCGCGTGATTGGTTCTTTATCAGTAGGGTCTGTTGGCAAAAGATTAATGATCAAATCAAAATCTTTGGGGGGTTTATATCCGTAGGATCAGGATAGTTTTAATTATTAAATTATTGACTAAATATTAATGATTTTTTCCATAAATCTTATTTAAATGAAATAAAACTTTTAAATAAAGTTGTTTAAATAAATGATTTTAATTGATGACATTTAAATAGTATGCGGAAGTTCTCAGAAAACGTAAAATCTCGAAATTGTAATGTTAGATTTTGTTCGAACTATCGAATATTAAATGTTCCAGTTTGTTATAATTAAAAGAATAAAACAATTTCAACAAATTGAAATGTATTTTCTTTTGATATTTTCAGCATTTTATTTTCATAATATAGAGTTGTTTTACAACTAAACATACTTAAAATTTTTAAATAATTAAAATAATGATATTTTCTAAAGGGAATCATTGGGGAATAATATGAATTTAATACACTTTTTGAGATTGAGGAGGCAAATGAAACATTGACATCTGGAGCCTAGAAAATCAGTTGACCAAAATTTGCCACGCCAAATATAGGAAAGTAATTTGATTAGTATATGTTATTATTAATTTATCAGTTGATTAATTAAATTTGAATATAATAAAAAATTTAATATATGGACGATACTTTTAATATAATTTATTTAATTTTAAATTTTAAATTATAACTCTATTTGAAAAATCTAATATAATATTTCATCTCATTATAAAAATAAAATTAACAATTAAAGTTTGATGCTACTCTACCGACAACTGATTGATATAGTGAGATGAAGTGTTAGGCCCCTTAAGCAAATGTCATGGATTCAAATCATGGTGTTTGCGAATAGAGTAAATTGGGTTGTCCTCGTCTTTACAGTATTCAATCCAGATTAATCGATTAATAAATTGGAAACCGGTGGTTATAAAAAAAGTTTGATGCTACTCTTTCTTAGATTTAGTAGTTTTTTCAACGGCAAAAGAACAATGTAAAGCATTTTTTATTTATATGAATTGGTAAAAAAAAAACTATTCAAAGCTTCAATATTATCAACTTGTAAATTTTCGACATTTTTTAAAGACAAGACAGAGAACATTTCTCATACTGATAAAATTCAAATTATGTTATATTATTTTATTATTTATATGAATTTATTTCAGTTTTTTTTATTTTAAGAATTCAAATTAAAGTGAAGCTTGTTCTTATTAAAAATTATATCGTCCAAACTAATAAAATTGAATTGGTGGTTCAATTTTTAAAATTTCACATTCATTGGTTAAATTATAATATTGGGTTTTCTATTATACTCAGATTTAAAATTTAGTTTCTATGTTTTAATTTGGCATAATTTGATAATTTGTTTTTTATGATGTCCTTAACTGGTTAAAATAACTAACATGGATGATTATTTAAAGTTGCTAACATTTTTTGTGCTGCTTGAAATAGGTGTTTTCTAATAAAAAAATTAAAGCCAATATTTAAAAATATTTTTTTCAGCTTGACATTTTAATACCCTATCGTTAAAAACTTAACGCTTTTAATACTTAAACTATCAATTTTAGTACATAATTTTTTTAATTTTTTCAAAACAACATTAAATTTTCAACATGAATACTAAAATGAAACAAAAATTAAAATTTTTAACAGTGCAGTACTAAAATGAAACAAAAACTAAATTTTAGGTATGATTTTAAAAATATATATATATATATATATAAAATTAGATACTAAAGCATACCAAAACTAGTTTGGGTACTAAACTCATAATTTACCCTTGTATTATTGGTTTGTTAACATTTACCGTAGTTGGCTCTAGCTGGGCAACTGTGTTTGAATGCAAAAGTGGTTGAAGATTAATTAGGAAAAGATTTCAAAATAAGACAGAGTTCAAGAATCTGTTAGCTTTTAGGTTGTCTAATAACATCGATTTACGAGTGATTTGTACAACTAAAAAAATTACAATTGATTTAAATTAAGAGAAGATGGGATTATGGTGAAATTCCCGATGAGAGAGATTCGGTGATGGCTAAAGTATTAGCAACCTAATCATAACTTGTCTGTGTTGTCGTGCTTTACTACGTAGTACTGTTTTCGTTGTGTTTGTTGAATGTCGAGTCCACCAATGTCCAAGAAAGCGAATATCTGAGCCCCAAGTGCGCAGCTATCTCAGCTCAGATGCATGTATTACCGCGGTCTTCCTATGGACATAAAGTTCCTGCTTTTGTACACCAAAACTCAAAACTGAAATACTAAACTCGGGCTTCTTACAACTTCAATTCAACTCGTGTTCAACTCGGTTCCATTACCTGCCTTAACACAACCCTAATTTTTTTTTAAATCGGGTCTTCCCGAACCACCACACACAAAATTCTAACCCACGTTTCCCATATGCCAACTATAACATTACTGTCCAGCTATTTAACCCATTCCATTCCACACATTCCAATCTTATCTATATCTGTCAATTATTAGCATGCATTTATTGCTCTTGCAACTTGTTGAGAAGAAATGAAGATTCAACGAGGTAACTCACAATTCGGAAGGTAACATAACTTTAACATATCGGTTTCAGGTTTTGCATACAGAGCTTCAAGAACATCCACAACACCTTAAATGATAGGGGTCTGCACTAGTGCATAAATCCGTGGTAACATAAATATGCAAGGGAAGATAACGTCAATCCTATAGTTTAGTCTTAGCTGAGACAGACATCCTAAGATTACGGTGTATTCATTTAGTCTTAGATGAGACAAGTATCTTACGATGACAGAAAAATACGTAATAACCTAATCTGTGCAGCAAACCGAGAAGCCCTGTGAAAGATGATCAGAAAAGTAGTGTTACGAAAATCAGACAAGTAAACAAAACATGTAAAATATGGAATCATATTGCAATCCAAGATAAATAATTATCACACCACCAATCCTATTAAATCATTCTGGTAAAAAAAATGTGTTCGATGATATCTTGTGCACATTGATAGGAATAGGATGGTCTCTTATCATTGCTACAAGATTTATTTATTGTAGTGTTCATATCATGGTAATATCTTATAGGATAGTGCTGATATCAGAGATGAAATCATATAGTTCAAATGAAATGAACAGATTATTTTATCCTCATTGCTCAAAAAAAAAAATCTAACTTTTCGATACCAGCATCTTTGAAGACAAAACTTAACCAAGTGGAGTGCGAAAAGAGTCAGCCTACAAGATACACTAGCCTCATGACAATTGAATTTTGAACCTGCCTAAATACATCAGAAATAGCTCCTTTCAGGAGAACATATAACCTACTTTGGGGATGTTTCTTATGAGGGTTTAGGTAAATAAGTAATAACAACCCTAAACTCCAGATAAGCTTATTCAACGAGATATAAATTTGTATTTACATTCGTAAACTTAATGGCCTGAATAAGTTCAAATCTAAATGTTATTGCATTAGTAAAACGCACCAAGGTTGGGCTACAACCTATATTGCTCTACTCGAGTTAAGATTAAGGTACCCGATCCAAAACCCATATAACATGCATATCAAGAGCTGGAAATAGACATACTCATATCCAAGACTCAAACTCAAATCCGAGTAACATAGGCTATAAACCCATACCTCGCTTTTCAGCTTACTTAGTAATGCACATCGCTTTTCAGCTTACTTAGTAATGCACATTAAGATAATAATTTTTTTTAAGAAAAAAAATCGTGAGAAAGTGCCATTGCAGTAAGAGACAAACTCAATATATCAGCAGACATAACAACATAATCCCAGACAGAAGAAGAATTAAAATAATCAGCACACTACCTAAAAGCACACAACTCTAGCTGTCTAATAATATATTATAGCAATATACAGTAGCTATAGCTTATGTTAAACAAAGCTTCATAAAACTAACCTCTACATACCATATACTACAAATATTCGAAACATCAAGCAAGCAAAATCATATTAGACAATCAAGCCAATGATTCATTAAAACTAAGCTCTACATACCATATACTACAAATATTCAAAACATCAAGCAAGCAAAATCATATTAGACAATCAAGCAAATGATTCATTCTTAATCACAGCTAATCCATTTAGAATAGACAGAGAATTTGTAACCCATTCCAAAAAAAAATCTATGAAAAGATAGTCAGATATCGTTTTCAAAGACATTATTAAAAAGGAAAAGAAGATAGCACTGAAAAAAATAACCAATCAGCATCTAAATCTTCGTTTCGAAGCTTTTCCAACTAAAAAATTAAAGAGAAAGGGGACATGGGGGTTTTTCAAATTAAAAAAGCCGAACCTTTATTTTCTACTTCGGTTTTAACTTTTAAGAAGACGAATGACGGCCTTCACAGAAAGGGCTTTCACCGAAGTTCTTAGCTGGGTATTTAGCCGTAACCATCCCGACTTCAAAGACCAAATTATCCCCACTGGATCGGATGCCGGTAATGGACCACCACTTGAACAAAGCCCTGACCCGGATCCCATCCAACTCCGCCATCTTTCCGTTTTCAATTTTCCCCGTTATCCTCTTGGAGTAAGTAGCCAGGTAGTTGTCAGGCGGGAGAGTGATCTTGCACGTGCCGCCGAGATCAACGGCGAAGTCACCTGAAGTTTGGTTAAGAGTGTACTTCTTCACCGAGGCCGGAAGAAGACCGATCGGAAAGCCGAAGTTGATAAGCTCCGTGTGGGCCTGGTGGAGTGGCGGCTTGGTATTGGGGTTTGGAGTTTGGGAGTAGGAGGAGGGTAAGATTAGAAGGAGAAGCGAGAGGAGAAAGAGAGGGTTCCTCATTATTTTTCCTTTTATTTTTATCTCAATGGGATTCGTATTCCTTTGCCCCGTTTTTGTATTGCTTTGCTTTTATCATTTATTTTCGATATATATCGTATTTAGGAGAGTTGGTTTCTTGTTCAGAGGAGGAGGGAAGCGGGGAAGAGTTGGCTTGCCGTGGTAAAGCTGCGGTTCACTGAAACGTCGCCGTACTATATCTTCAATCCAGCCCGTACTAGTTTCATGCTTCCTGAGGCCCATAACTCTCTGGTGTTATCTTTAAATCTTTAATTAATATTTAGGGTAAATTACACATATATTGCGTAAACTATTAGTTTTGGTCCATTTTAGTACCTAAGCTTTCAATGTTTTCAAAATCATACCTAATGTTTAGTTTTTGTTTGATTTTAGCACCCATCGTTAAAAACTTAACGCATTAAGTATCTAAACTATCAGTTTTAATCCGTTTTAGTACATAAACTTTTCACTTGTTTCAAAATTTAATGTTAATTTTTAACAATATATTAAAATAAAACAAAAACTAAATTTTATATGTGTTTTTGAAAAGATTGAAAGTTTAGGTATTAAAGTAGACTAAAATTGATAGATTAGGTACTAAACATGTAATTTACCCTAATATTTATTTTTTATTCTTTTTATTGGCTCCAAACATTCTGCATATTTTTAGTTAGGTGTGGCTTAATTAGCATTGAACTCTGTAAGGGCAATCCTTGGGGGTCTTTGAGGTACAAGGTACAAATAGAAATTTCCCGCTTTGGCATTTACGTTATTGCCATTATGTTCCTCTTTCGAATTTGTGTCTCAGCTTCTTTTATAGTAGCCGTATCAGCTAAGTAAAATTATAAAGGGTAAGTTACACGGTTTCTCACTCCACTTTACTCTTTCTTCTATTTTGCTCACCGAAATTTCAGTTTTTCTAATTTGCTCACTATACTTTACATATTGAATCATTTTACTCACTCTGTCATTAATAGCGTTATGATGTGGCACATGAATCAAAATGATGCCTTTTTGAAAAACTCAAATATACTCTAAAACAACGCTGTTTTGGTGAGTAAAATATGAGATAAAGTAAAGTTTAATGATTCATGGTGTAATTTACCCTTTTTCCTTTTATTCTCCAATTTCTCTCTACCGTCCACCATCGACCGCCGTAGATGGTGGTCGTTCGGTCCCAATTGGGATTGGTCTCTTCGCCTCGACCCCTGAGTCCGAATCTGGTGTTTGTTTCAGTAGAAAATATCTCAAAACACGTGAATTTGGACTGAAATGTTTCGGTTTCCACACTCTCAATATCAAATTCGTGGACTTCGGAACAACTTCCGACAAAATGGAGGTCGGATCCGAACTCACGAAGTCGAGACGAAGCGACCCATCCAAATTTGGGACCAAACAGTCATCATCTATGGCGATCAACGGTGGTCAGTAGTGGTATCTGGCCACATTCTGTTTTTATTTTATTTTTTAAATTATTTTATATTAAATAATAATAATAATAATAATAAATACCACGTTAGAGAGAAAACAGGGGAGTGAGCAAAATGATTTAATTTGTAAAGTTCAATGAGTAAATTAGAAAAATTGAAAGATCGGTGAGCAAAATAGGAGAGAGAGTAAAGTAGAGTGAGGAACCGTGTAATTTACCCAATAAAAAAATTTCTTTTAAAAATGATGTCCTTATAATAAATTCTTGTCAATAATGATTAAAAATTTCTTGCATCACCAAATAAATATTGCACCCAGGAAAAAAATAGTGTTGATACAATCATACACAATTAATGATCATACACAATTAATGGATGAACATATTATACTATCTTTTCCAAGTAGAATAAATTAAAAAAAATAGTTGTCCTTTGTTTCCATATGTAATGGGGTAAGGGGAGGTAAGATAATAGGCTGTGCCTCTAACACCAGGTTGAGAGTAGCTTCCGTAGAAGACCTCCGAATTATAAAATGACCTCTGTGAGACTCGATCCCACGATCTCAAGGTTAAGAACCTTGTGCTCTACCAATTGAGCTGGATAGTCATCTCTTAAGTAGAATAAATTAGCTGACCCTTATTCTCATATGTAATGAGGTAAGGAGAAGGTAGGATAGTAGGCTGCCCCCAACGCCAAGTAGAAGTGATATACATTTTAGGTGTCAATAACCAACCATAGTGCCCCATTTTCCTTGATGCAAAACACCCACTTTTGTTTGTTCGTATCTGTCCCAACAGAGAGACGCAAAATCGAAGTACACAGGATACAACTACAAAAAAATATAGTAACAGTTACAGACATTGTTTTTGCTACTAGCATAATACATCTGCAAACCAGAACCTGCATGAGCTTACACAATCTTGATCGAGTATATGACACAAATACACTCGTACATTTTTCTTGAAAGGCACTCGTACATATTTGGAACATCATATTTTTATATTTATGTTCGTATCGAGATACGTATCGAACCTGACAGAGAATGGCCTAGGGTTCTTCCTTTTACTCTCCTCTACACATGCCAGGCCAACAAAAACTTTGGCATATGTATCAAATATATATATGGTGCTATATGTTATATAAATCCTTTCTCCGTTTACAAGTTTTTCTTCCGTCAACAAGGATCAGAAGTCCAAAGCTCTGCGTTTTTAACCTTTGAGACACTCTCCAGCACTTCAAAGGGGATTACATCACCAATAACAACTACCCTTTTGTTTTCCAGGTCTACTTTATACGAGCTCACTCCTGCATTTCATGGGACAACATGTAGGTACATTACAGTGACAATAATAATCAAAAGGGAATCTAAATAGGTCTCTCATTGCTTACCATCCATCTTTGAAATGTGTTTCTCAACTTTTCTTGCACATCCATGGCAATGCATGGAAACCCTCAGTACCACCGTCTGTAGGCTCAAATAAATGAAAGGAAAGTTACTCGACTGTAAAATCCCTAAGCTTTCATTTTCCATTTGTTTCTCTTTCAGGGAATGAAGCAAACATTTGGAGATGTAAAGGAATATTACCTTAGGCTTAAGCTGAAAGGCCAAGGTCTGATTGCCAGACACAACGTCTTTCAATTTCAGCAACTGGTTTTTTTCAGATGTTACCAATGGTTTTTTCTCAAACTCGTCATCCAAGGTGTTCATGCAGAAACAAGAACAAGAGCTTGAAGACAGATATAAACAATCAAGCATCTTGCCAAAACTGAGTTTCCCCATTGCTCCCAGATGTTCAAACACAACCAAGACAAAATGTAATCTCCTTGACCCTCACTTAGGAAACTGAAACACAGCTACATAACCAAATGTCCATCTTATAGGAAGAAAATCAATCAAAAGAAATCATGTTGACAGACCCCAACACTATGATCATATAAATGTGTGCAGGGAGACAGAGACGGAAAGCTAGAGGCCAAATTTTATCTGGAATAGCAAAAGCTAGACAGAACCCAATGAAGCTATTGAAGAAGAAATGAACCCTCCAAGCAAGCAGAGTTTTTCATGTGGTGAGGCACTAATAACGACAGCACGCATACACATGAACACGAAAAATTTACACACACTATACAGGTTGAATGGGATTGAGGGATGAAAGAAGGGTACGTTCATGTGAGATTTGCAGTTGGTTTAGAAAGTGAGAGTTGCTTCACTCTTTCATTTGAACTATTGTTTTTTATCTTGAAAGAAGCAATAATATTCACATGATATAAAAAATATAAAACATGGGTCATGCTCACCAGCTCAAGAAATTGCCAAGAACAAACCTAAACCAGGCATGGCATGTGACGTTTGCTAAGAAATTATTAATCAGAAGAAATTTTTATAGCCAAAGATTGGATAAGCATCTTTAGTCATGTACATTACCTTAAGCATGCATTGCTAAACTTGAACAAAACAATCTTTGATTATCTAACTATTGAAAAATACGTTCTAATGTCTATCTAATGATGCTTATATGTAAGTAGAGATTAAGGGTATATGATTGATTTGATTAGAGGTGTTTAATCAGAGGGAGATGGGTTGGGATGGATGTAATAATTCAAAGAAAACAGTGAGTGAGTGGGTTGAACTTGCTGACAGACTTGTCTTCATCTCCATTCCTTTCAATATCAATAGACAGAAGATGGGGACAGGCGACATTGAATTATTATTGGATGATTGAATATAATATTAGGTACTAGTCTATATCATATATCGTTTATTTTATACGATATTAATGGAACTATTCTCTAACAGGTTGGTCCATGTGATGATGGCTCCTTTCAGTGGGAGGAAATGAACGTATTATTGAAAATAAAATTTGAGTGGTGAAGTCGTGTACTCATGTGTGTTGGCCTCACCTGACCTTTGGGTATGCAATAAACCAAAATTCCATTTGGAGGCAATATATAGTAATATTAATTTCAATGTGGGATGAATGTGGCATTACATAATATAATGTTGTTTAAGAAGCATGGGCTCATCCAAAGCAACATTTCACTCCCTTCAAAAACAAAAAGAATAACATAATTTTTTTAAGTAAAACCTAAGTGGAATAATATAGAACATGCAGATCAACCTTGAAATAACTAATAAGCTTACCTAATTCCATGTGATTAAATAGTAAAAGTTTTGGGGGCATTTGCACTGTCCATCTGCAATCGTAATAATATTGTGGACGGTCATGCATGTTGTTAGAAACAACCAAATTATTAATATTATTGTAATCTTTGATAGACACTTCCATAATGAGAAACATTATCCAACTTTCAAATTTGCCATACTTCTTCCAATTCAATTTCATTCATAGTAAATATTAAATCTGTAAAACAATAATTTTATTTAGTTTTTTATTAGTATAATGATTAAAGTTATGTATTTAATAATATAGAATTTGATTTGAATCACTCTATATTAGAAAATTTAAATTCATCCATTCAGTTGGACGCATGACAATGTTACACGTTTAATTACGGATTTTCCTTTTTAATTTTTGAATTTAAAAATAAAAAGAAACTACAAATTGTCACTTTTAATTCTTGCCTTCTGATTCTTGCAACCTTACCAAAAATGTAATTTTCCCTACCATTAAAAGCTCCCTTTACCCTTTGGAAAAAGATAATTCATATCTTTCACCGGTTGCATATTTACAAATAACAAGTGTTTGCAGATTTTAATTTAATATATGTAATTTACTCTATTCCCCAACCCCCTGGAGCCGGGCAAAAGAATTCGACATAACCGCATATACCAAGCACTTTCCCCATTTCAACAATGCTTACTATGTCTAAATATGCTTCAGTTCCATCCCTCTATGTATTCAGAGTAAGACTATAATGGCATTTTGAGCACCAATCAAAACCTTTTTTTTTCAAACAGCTTCACCCGTCGTTTGTCTCCATCTCAATATGACAGGAGCCACCAGCATCCACACTGCAACCACAATCATCTTACTGTACCCGAATTCGAGTAACACGAAGAGAAATAGACACCTCTAGTTCTAGTCCTAGTTCTAGTTAAAGTACTTACAGTAAACGCAGACAGCTACCCATTCATTCACTATCCTGACCCAAGAACTTGTCCAGCCAACATCGATTGTCCATCTGCAAAAGTATAATGAAACAAAACAAACACATATTCACATGTCATCGGATAAGATGTTACCGAGAAGTAAATCAGTCATCGAGAAGATATGTATGGTTCCATTTATTCAGAATTCAATATAAATCAAACTACAAATGCACGAGGGGGAACATACTTTTTAATAGTATGATGAGTATTCCAGCCTATCAGTAGCATTGCGAAGTACATCGCACCGGTGGCAAAAACAAAGTGGAAGAAACCGTAACTGTATGGTACTGCATCTTCAGCACGAACTTCCTTTTTGCTGAACTGCAGCTGTTGTCAGATGCATTCTCGTGGAAAATAAGGAGATAAGAAATAAAACATTTATGATTCAAGCAGAACAAACCTGAAAACATTGAGAATCGATGCCGGTTGAAAATGTAGCAATAACCATAGACAGTAGCGCAACAACAAAGCTCTGAAAGAATTCAGAGAGTTATTATCATGCTCCTGGTAAACTTTACAAGTTACAGTTAAACTTCTAAGAATCTCTTCAAATCATGAAAATGAAAGTATTTTTTTCATTCTACATATCATATTTCGTTACGTTACAAAGTTAAAGAACAAACATCGGTACTTGGGTCAAAAGGTTCAATAGATTTTCAGAGAATGACATTACTATGATGGTGAGCCAGTCTGTCTTGTTTGAAGCCTCTGCCTTTCTGTTGCAACTTTCCCCTGCTGGTTCACTGCAAACACATAAGCTATGAGCTTGTCTAATTGAATTTAACAATAAATTGATAAAATACTTTTGATTCTCATTACTGTTAATTTGTCATATTGGCACAGAAAGTGGGAAGATTATATATTTTCAGTTTTCCTAGGACGATGACGGGATTCAAGGGCATTGCTCAATAGGTCCATTTTTTGTTCGAACACCAATTTCAGTGGTTGCAGTTCATAACCCTGAAATGTTAATGAATGCACTCTGAAAACCATAGAACAGACTAATCTCGATCCAAAAGGCTTAAAAAGTACCTTCGAATGGCACACCAACAGATGAATACCACATAAAGCCCCATGAGCCCTGGAGTTAAGAAGCCAGCATTGATCTGTTTTGCCGAAAAAACGAGGGAATCATGCGTTTGATTCAAAACTGTATTTATGGCATTTGAAGTGAATGGGCAAGGATTGCTCGGAACATACTTTCGCGTGGAGGGAAACACTGGTCATTAGCTGCAGAAGAACCAGCGTCCATGTGATGAAGAAAATGTTAAGAAGGCAGGATGGTTGTGGTGCATACCAGATATACATCATGATGATCCCAATTATGCATATAATATACGCAGCAGTAGCAATTAACATCACATGGATGTGGCTGCAAAAAGGAATTAATATTTAGCAGTATTAAAACTGAAATAATACCGAGAAGTGGTTTAAACCACCATTTTTTTACTTCTAAGAAAATGATTTCCACTCTCAAGAATTAACATAAGTAATGTTCTTTATCTCAGGCTCAGAATCGGACCATAAAAGAGATGAGTCTTACCATCTTTCTGCATTTTTTTCAGATATACAACAATCATTCAGCCATGTAATGAAACTGATTACACTTACGAGCTGAACTAGAAGAAAGACCCTGAAAATGATACACAGAATACAAGATTCAATAAAGTGTAACACAGGAAGCATCTTGAACTTCCCGAACAGACTATTCCGATAAGATTGTACATTGTATTCCATACCCGGCACCAAAATGAGCAATCTCCCCTGTCAGTAAGAGCAACGGAAGGAAAAAGGATGAAGAGAAGGCAACATGTCAGAACATCAATGTTGATCAGAGTAAAATGAAAACTGAAGCTAAAGACCTGGGATTTATTATGGAAAGAGGGCTGAAGAACACAAACCATATATCTGTATGATGAAAGTAGGAATCAAAAAGGAGGTAACTGTCAAAGCAATCCAGAGGCCGAACTTTGCAGACCACCATCCAGAATACCATGAGTCTCTGCAATTGTACATCCTTGGGTTGCCTGCAGTGGAAAGAAACATTACAATATAGAATGCCTAAAATTAAATTAAGGAATAATGCAGTGTTAAAAAATAAGAAAACAAACAAATAAACACTGGAATTACAGAACTATAAATAACGTAGCTTCTAGTTCTTATTTTCTTCATTATCTTTAAGGTTTGAGAAGAGAGCTACTTGGTAAGGCCCTTCTATTCAACATTCTGTTATTTGGCATTCTACATCTAGCTGTTGAGCTCTAAATGACACTATTATCAACAAAGAAAACACACACATATGTATTCATCATAATGAACTGAGGATACAAAACATCCCAAGCTCACACGTAGGACTCCTTCGGCGCCCAAACATCCGCGGCCACCTTGGCAATTCTTCAGTTCTGCAACCACATTCCCACATACGTGCTGATTAACATTATTGACATTACTATCATAGAGCTCTAGCAGGAACAAACTGATGGCAAATACAAAAGCAAGTGTTGTGCAATCCACGTAATATTTTGACAAACAATGCAGATGCAAACAAGCAACTTACTTTCCATTTCAGGGAAGGCATTACGGCCATAATCTCGAACAGCCCAAGCCAGTAAATTCGAAACCAGAAAGATCAAAGCATAGACATATCTAGCCATCCAAGGATTGGAGCCATTCCCGAACTGGCTAAACCACGAGCCATCCTTAAAAACCCATTGCCTCTCATTGCGGCTGTTACTTCCTAAACCACTCTCCATTTCACTTTCACCCTCCACTCTTCATCACATTACAGATTCGTATGTTTACTGTAATGTAGTAAACCAGTCGATTCCAGTCCACCGAAAATCTTGTTATCTACAGTAAAAGAACTAAAGCAATACAATAATAAAAAGAAAGTAACATTAGATAATCATGTTTTGTCCCGGTGGATCCACCTAAATGTCAAAAAGTTAAAACTCCGAAATTTGTGCACATGAAAAAGGGGTTTGGGCTTATAATGATTTGGGATTATAATAAATCGTAAGAAAATTAAACGTGATTAAATTAATTTAAATTATATTTTTGAAATTTTTGCACGCAATTAATCTCTTATATTCTAAAATTTCATCAGTTTATCTATTTGATTAATATTAATCGTTAAATTTAATACATTTTTTCGGATCATTCGATGCGTCACATATTAAAGTTATAATGTTTTCACGCAATAATTTTAAGAATTTATTAATTTTTAATATTTAAAAATTATTTTAAGAAAA